GCGTTGGCTCTTCTTATACAGATTGCCTCTCATCGTTACAGCTGCTTCTCCTGTCAATTCTATTCTACTCTCAGAAATCTCGGATTCATTGTTGTTTGGTCCTGCTGATACCTGGATCAAACACATCTTCAAATGTGAGGGATTTGTAGCTCACAAAATAACGCAGTATAGCAAATAAGATAGAATTATCTTCCATGTAGAAACATATAACCTATGTTATGGAGATATACTGTGGGGGGCAACAAAAAATCCAACCAAGGACAATAACATGAGAAAAGATGGCACTGGCTGGCAGCAAGCGAACCTAATGAAATGAAACAGTTTATTTGAAAACAGAACAACCTGCTTTTGCATGAAAGAAGACTTGGTTTCCAGATAACACATGACATGAAGTTAGAAGATGAGGAACATCAAAGGGATATTTGCCAGCATCAAAATATAGCAGGGGGTGAAGTGCCATTAGCAAAGAAAAGTTTGAAAATTATTTGCGTTTTCTTGTTAAGCAACATAAACGGATCCCATTTGAAAGAGAGATGCATAGATGTTTTCTTCAGGAGGAAAATTTTAATAATAATAAATCTTAGATGCCGCGAAGAATGGTAACCTCATGGCTTGTTTTGCCAGGACAACTCCTGTGCAGCGTGAATCCCCTACATAATAAAACACAAAAAAGGAGAAACTGAATTACTGAAGGGTACTCCAAGACAACAGAAGAATGTAACTGAAAAAGCCCAGCATCTGAACAAATACCTGTTGTGACCTGGCATTATCAGTAATAGGATTAACTGCCTGTAATTGGGCATAATTGAAGTCCTGAACGGAGGAAAATATATATATACGCAGAAGAGTAAGTATTCTCTAAAGAACACGTGCTAAATTCCTTCACATTCAAAATTAAAATGAGGTTGACTAATTATTCTTTAGGAACATTTTATACATGACACAAAGATATTGATTACATATGTAAAGAAAAATAGTATATGTAATCGCAATATCTTATTGGACCAAATAAAAAGATAGACCATGTAGACTGTGCATGTGAAATATGTGGCATGACATTCTAGTATGAGTAAATTTGTCTCGCCTAATTAAGTCTATGCCAATAAAGACATTATAAGGCTCCTTATTAAATGCAACAAACAAGGTGGCTGTCCAAAATTTTAGATATTGTTACATGGATCCTTCTCTTTAAGCTCTTCTTGCCCCCCCTGGCTTCTCAGCAAAAAGCCAACATAAATCATAGAAGCTCTCATGAAAGGAGAAAATTCTTAAGATTAAGGGAAAGAAGATCCTGCAAAGGAATGGCATGCGGTGATTCAGTGTTGTTAGCACCTTCCACGTGTTATGCACCAGTCATCTCATTAAGAACGTGTATCATTGTGTCCCAACACATGAATTAGAAAATTCTCTCACCCCCTGCAAATGTGGTGAGATCCGAACCCACACTTTCCACAATGAAAGAAAACAATTATTACCTTCCGAATTTAAGCTCACTTGGTTCCTCTATTAAGCTCCACTACAAGCTGTTTGAGTATTAACTTAATAACCTTGAAGTCTCACCCAACTTCAGAGGTTTGATACACTGAACCCTTATGATGGTATGAGAGCAAACTAGAGTTTCCAGCCATGGAAAGGATGGGCAGTGGGCACTAAACCTGCAAGGGCATCTCACCACAACTTCAAAGTTTGATGCAAATGAGGGCACCTTTACAAAAGCCATTCCCTTTTTCTTTACTAACAACTACTTAGTGCCAACTTTTGGTGTAAACCTGTAGTGACAGGCAATGATTTTTTTTTCCTCAATTCTTCTTATAATTTAGTGCTTTACATTCCCTACATGTCCTTGATGACGTTTGAACAACTAAGGACACTTGTTTCCCTAAACCATGACAAAATTCATCAGCTAGTTAAACCAATTAGCCATATACTCGTCTGCCAACATACACAATAAAAATTGACAAGCCAACATATTTTGCAGAGAGAAACCAGAAAAGACAACAAAAAACTACTTCACTGAACATATTCTGAATTCCAAATGGAGTAAGACCCAATAATCCGATGTTAAAGACAAAAACATAGCCAGTTGTCTAGGATATGAAATGGGTAAAGGCACCGATGCTTCATAAAGCATTCAATGAAGATCTAGAAGATTAAGACAGATTTATGCATATCAGCCTGTATAATAACAGCAAAGCCTTTACCAAAACCTGTGGGTCCAGCTCCGTAAATATTTTCTTCCATTTTTTAATTACTAAAGGGCAATCTCCTTGATTTAATTAATAGTGGCATATACTATCTAACCCAACCATGCTCCTTTAATCTTGATTTTAGTTGTCATTAATCCATTAACTACAATCCTATCAGTCTTCTTGATTAGCACACTTAGTACCCCTTTAGCAAATGCTAAAAACACATTAGTTGGTTCTTCCACATTTGTCCTTAACGGCAACTACCGCTAACTTCTTCCAGATGCACTCATTTCTTACCTTATAACTAAAAGATAGTTTCACACAAATGTGGTTGTCTAACAGCCTAAACCAATATCTTGGATATCATATTACTCTAAACATGTTTTTTCTCTAACGCACGAGCTCAGGCATGAGCACAAAAGATTTATAATACTTTAAAAGTACCAGTGCTCAAATACAATAACTCAGAAGGTTCCGGGACAATGACCCACAAATTCCTCAGGACCAACCACTCGCTTTTAAACACTAAAGCCAGACTAGCAAACCAAGTGCCAAAAAATAGCATCTGAACGTAGACCAGGTACCGCGTTACATCAACATTTTGCAAGTTCACTTGTATACTATGAAAAGACTCAAAGACACAGAATAATATATGGCTGCTACCACCTGTATTCCCAGCACTTCATACAATATCTGACACATACCGTGTTCAGTCATAAATATCTGAAACTCACTTATTTCTAGCAAAGGTTTACCTGAATGTTTTGCTGATTACCCACGCCAGCGGCCTGATACTGTAAAGGCAAGTGGAGGAAGTTTGTTACTGAGAAAGATTCTGAAATATAATGAGCCAACAAAAATAATACTAACCGGTAAAGAAGGCTGAAGCAGCTGCTGCATTTGTGCCTGCTGCCTAAGCTGCATCTGATTCTGCACCTGCTGTGCTTGAGGAATTTGTTGATTAGGCTGATTTTGTGTTTGTGTTTGAGTCTGAGCCGGTGACTGAAGCTGCTGGACAGCAACTTTCTGTTGCTGCTGCTGAAATAATAGCATTTTCTGCTGTTGCTGCTGCTGCTCAAAAGCGGAATACTCTTCCGGCTTTTCCCACTGCAGGAGAAATGATAGGCAGACCAGGAGAAATGATAAGCAGACAAGCTATCTTTTTTACAATGAAGGGACAATGATATAACAAAACAATGTTTACTCACCTTACTTTCCTGGGTAACGCTATTGTAATAATATTTAAATCCTTGGGGAGATGTGTGCTCTGTCCAGTTGCAGGTTAAGGGGACTGCAGACGTAGTAGTTACTGGCACAGAAGAAGTTACTGGTGCAGCTGATGGAACAACTGCGGTTGTTGTGTTAGCAGGAGCACTAGATATTGGCTGTGGTCCGCTCCATGGTGATTGCTGCATGCATTTCAGATAAAGTATAAAGTTAATTAATGATAAAAGTTATTAGGCATCCATTAAAAAAAAGTTATTAGGTAACCAACTCTGCTGTAACTGGAAATCATCATCATACAGAATATACAGATTCCAGTACACATGAAAAAGTTTGTTAAAGCAAAGCAGACATAAATATCGCACAGAGATCCCTTGAAAGAGAGCATTAAGTACCTCACCTAAATTAAAGAAATCATTACCGACAGAAACTTATTATTTCATTACCTGCTGCTTAGCATTCTGAGGAATTTGCTGCTGAGTTAGCCCAGCCTGTTGCATCAGTTGCAACTGCTGTTGAAGCTGAAATATTGCCTGCTGTGATGATTGATAGCTCGACTGTAAAGCTTGTGCCTGTTGTTGCAGAAGCACATGAGGGGGATGTGAAGGAAGTTGTTGGATGGGCCTCTGAAGCAGCTGATGAGAGATGGTAGATGACGGCAACTGCTGCTGATTAGCCATAGCTGCCACTCCCTGTTGTGATAAGCCCATAGGAATTTGCAGGGCGTTGGCAGAAGCATTCAGTTGATTCAAAGACTGAGAAGCCTGCCCTCCGAAACCTGGTAACTGTTGTGAAGGTAAAGTTTGGCTGGAGGGTAGGCCAGTAGATTGAGGGATTTGAAGCTGCCCCATTTGTTGCATCTGTGGCTGCAATGTTTGCCCCTGAGGATGGGAACCTGATATCTGCTGGTTCTGAGGCGGTTGTAATGAAGACGGCAAGTGTTGTGGGGTCATAAGTGGCTTCTGCAATGGCAGCATTTGTGGACCAAGACCAGGATGCATTTGTGGAACAGAAGGGTTAAAACCCTGAGAAAATGAGATCCACAATTAAGACTCAGCAATTCAACCGTTAGGCTGTACACAAGCCTAGAAAGACGTGAAAAAGAAATGACACTAAGGATACCTGTTGCGGTGTTGCTGCAAAATTTGGTTGATGTCCACCTGTCAGTCCAGTTTCTCCTAAAGGACCAGTCTATACAAACAAAATGGGCAAAAGTGTTAATATTTTAGAACTCATTCTCAAAAAAATTATTCAATATTCAGTCAATAGATAGAAATTTGCTTGGTAGAGATATCAAAGAGAAATTACTGCAACTGAAGATGTTTCAACCATGCCACCTTTGGCAGAGGGATTGGTGCCAAAACCTTGACTAGCAGCTTGAGAAGATGGTCCACGTGACTGTGGACTACTGCCCCACGCATTAGGTGGCATGCGGCCACCTATCGGCTCATCAAATTTGGCTGTTGGCCTGTAAGGAGAGCATTTATAATGAAAAGAAAGGAACAACAGAAGTATGACTATAATTATTGAAGAGAAATGACTGAAACAGATTATCAAGAGTCCAGCAGTCTTCAAATTTCCCTGAAACATCTCAGTATACGGATGCATTGGTCAAGGCCAATTTTAAAACTGCAAAGCATGGGCACTGATTCATGCTCAAAAACCATCATTATGTTGAACATGCATAAGAACTAAAAGGGGATGATCACAGTAGCTTGAAGAGTAAATGTCTTAAAAATGAATGTCGGATAAAATGACAGTATCTGGATGAAGAGAAGAAACTTTGGGTGAGCACTCCAAGAGGGGTAACACTAAACTTTCTAGAGGAAGAGGGAACAGACGATGATACATATCAGAGTTTTGGAAGTTAAGAAAACAGGGTTATCTAGCTTGCCGCAACGATAAAATCATCAAAAAATGTTGGGTAAACTCTACAAATGTTGCATTTTATTATTTGGAGAGTTTTGAAGCTAATTTCTTAAATACTGTTCCATTGAACTATAGAAGCAACATCAAGTAGCGAACACTAATCATGATTAAATTGGCACGGTCTAGAAAAGCATGAAGGTGGAGAAATCACAGCAAGCACTACATAGCATACTTGGAAAACATGTTCCATATCCTAGTTAACATAAAGCATAATTATCATATATTCACTTTATTTATCTATGCATTCACTTGTTTTTAGCTTAACGCTCACTAAAATTGATAGCAAATTCAAAATCATTATCACTAGCCAGTTGTATATAATCTATTGTCAGCTCTCTTCAACCTTTTCAAGTTATCTTCATCAAAAGGTGACATGGTATAGGAGTTGTAAATTTAGCTTGCAATACTAACACCATAATACTAGAGTTCTGCATTAAAGTTGAGAGATACCCGATCACTGTCGCTGTCTCAGAGCGATGGCCAAAACCAGGACCCCCAAATGCAGGACCACCACCCCTATACAAAAATTATAAGGTAAAGGAAACATCAGCAACGAGTAACTGTGGAACTTCCATATTTCTCTCCGATCATACACCTCTACGAAAAATTAGCTATTACTATCAACAAAACAAATTAGTAGTAGAAAATGATTTAAGGAGAAAATTTTAAACCTTTGTTCAGGTCTAGGCCTCTTGGGATCAGCAAACCGAACAATTAATGGTTGATCACATCCCTGTGAGCAAAGGAGGGAATAACTTATTGTTTGCAAGTAAATCTAAGGAAGCTTAAATTTTCAGCGACTGATTAATTTTACCCTCATCACATAAGTTCCATGCAAGGCATTCATAGCAGCTGCTGCCATCTCTCTATTTGAGAACTTCACAAAGCCACAACCTTTAAAAATTATTTGAACATGCATATAAGATAGATGAACATCAACAAGACTGAAATTACACAAGGTACGGAAGGACAGACCTCGACTTTGCTTCAACTCATCTCTCATAAGATAAACATCTTCAACATGACCGTAAGGGGAAAATATCTGCCAAAAGATATATGAAGATTTTAACCGCACTTTCATACGATAACTTGATTGATAACATAATAAGTGGACGGTTAATGGCAGATGCTTCTCAAAATAGAAATGTTCCCTGTAAATTTTTTTAAAATTATCTATCAAATGTATCTTCAGTGTGCGTTTTAAGGAAAGAAAAAAAAATCTAACTCAAGAAAAGAAGATTCAGGAGAACACTAGAAGGAAATCTAGCATAACAGTTGTTTGTGGAACATGCAACTGATGCCAGGACAGAACAACTTCACTTTGAATTAATTCCACGCTAATAATGCTTACCTCTGCAATTTCCTGTTCTGTGGCACGCTTATTGAGTGATGCAACAAACAGTTTGTCCTCTGCATAGAAATATTAAGTAGACATAAAAAATAGTAAACCTAGGAATTGAATTAGATGAAACACCTAAAATAGCACATTCAAGTGAACACATATAACTGATTCCATGAATACAGATGCTGTATAATTTCCAGTTAACACATAGCTATTGTCTGTGGCTAGTGGCAACCATCTCTGGCCTTGTACACTTTAATACAAAATGCAAATCTCTACTGGTAAAATGCAAATTCCTTCAGAAGAGGGTTGCAGTTGTCTGGTCTCATATTTTGTTCCCCAGAATTCTAGTGTCTTATTAACACCAATTTGACCACCAAGAAGTAACTTATTTTGCATACAAGACTGAGAGGACTAACCACATGCACCCCCACCCCCCACCCCCCCACCACCACATCGGGGATACTTTACCTTGGACAATACCTTTACACGATTTGTTTTCACAAAGATCAGATGACAAAAATTACTCATCACACTTGTGTACACTCCTTCCCAAAGTTAAAACCCTGCTATCATACATGAACACCCTACAAAAGTAGTTCCTTATAAATATCTATACACCATTGAAATTCAATAATGTAGAAGAAAAAACAATGCTGAATTGAGAATCAATTTATGTATTTTAGATGGCCTCTTGCCACTATATTTATTAATTGTGCTACATAGTATATATCTCGTTGTGCATAAGCAATCTAACATGGATCAATCTTTCCATGAAAAATATCAAACATTAAACCATATTTTGTCTTTTTCCTATCTTTAATATACCAGTAATATTACTGAAGACGGGTTTTGGAGTATGATATTTAACTGAAAATTCATACAGCATATCACAGTTGTACAATTGTCGGACATTGAGCACAGAACAGATAATGGGCTTGAAAAAGTACCATGGCGCTCCCGATCACCATCAGCATATCTTACTTGTAAAGGTGCTAATGCCTGAGAATGATCACAAGTTCAAACTATTAGTAAACAAATAAATGCAGTTACATATAGTGCATGTGACATAAATGAGACACTTGCTCACCCCTGGCAAGGTGTGTTGATTATGCAACGCTGCAATAGCTCTATCAGCTTCTTCGGAAGTTGCATATTTTACGAAACAAAATCCTGTAGATGTAAATGTTGTATTTTTGATCCCATTGGATTACCAGAACTTTGACATGACATACAAATCAGAAGATATAAATAAATATGCAATTGCAAATGAAAGGCTGAAACATTGAGGATTCATGAATATTACTCAATGACATGATTCAAGAAGCAGATATTAATTTCAAAAGTCATCATGCATAACAGAGAACAGTGTGTCATTTAACAACTCAAACAGTTTTATTCATTAAGAATTGCTCACACAGGCAGCTCACGAAGGCAGCTTCCAACTTTTCAGAGAATATTTGATAAATGAAACTGCAACATTTCAAAAAAAATGCGGAAACCAACAAAGCTGCCTGAAAAAATTCTACCACTATTGTGTATGTAACAATTACACCACCATTGTGAACAAAATGCTGTGTGTTATAAACATTCCAAAGGCAACAATGTGTCCGACGCTGATGCACAGTTCATATCTATGACCTGCAGTCTCAGTTATGCAGGCTGTCCCTTCTATAAGTTCTTCATTCATTACCTACTCCCTTTCAGGGTCTAAAGGAGATGCTAAAACTCTCATTCAATGCCTTTCCAGCAGCCATTGAAACCTTTCAAATTTCATGGATCTACCATAGAAAGAAATTATGCAACAACCTAGCATTCGATGGAATCAATGAACATGGAGATATTATGACCTAAAAAGTTTTACAAAATCAGTACAGATAAGATGGCAACAAAAGAAACCTTCTCATTCCAGATTTACTGGGAGCAATCATCACAATATTTCCATGACATCGGACACAATAATCAGAACTGCTCAAGCAAGTCTCCCACTCAACCCAATAAGAACAACTTCAAGAATATCACATTACGACCATATGAACAGACAAAGACCGAAAATAGAACAAATAAACAGCAACTCAGATCCGCAGATAAGGTGGGTTTAAAAATTGTTTATAATAAGATGAAGAAGCACATTAAGTAAACACAATGATGTACCTCAGAAATTCACAGTAACCACCAAAGTTTGCACTCACTATGCAATATTCTAGTAGTTAACATTCTAACTATAAAAAATAGCACATGCAAAGTTGAAGAAAAGACCACTGTAAGCAATATATAGGACACAAACACAAAATTTAAGAAATAAATCTGGAAAAGTGTGAATCATCAACTCAACAATCACCTTATGAACAGAAAACGCATAATTTCCTCCACATTGAACAATCTAGTTAAAACAACTTGGAAGCTACACAAGAATTTGACAGTGAGACTATCGCCATTTCTACACAGATAGCAGATCAGATGACACCCATAGAAATTAACCCATCATCACTACTAAGGTGTTTCTAGAAAATTTTACAATCTGAAAACTTCTTGCATTCTTTAAAAAAGGGACAAAGACTATCACATATAATTGAGAACACCAAAAGATGCACCATGACTATAAAGATCTAAACCATCCAGAATTAGCTCATTATTGAAATAATGGGGCGGAGTCATCATCAAGTGTCACCCAACAAATCAATGAGCCAAGTAAGTGCATCCACTTCAACAGAAATAGGCCAAAATCAAAGTAAAATGTGATAGTAAAGGTTGTAGCTAGAATAATAGAAGTCTACCATCAATTGTCAATAAAAAGGGCCATAGTGAGGTTATCCACTTAAGAAAATAAAATAATAGAAAAAATTTCTAATTCATTGTCCAAAGTCTCGGGCATCAAATGTAGTATTCACACATAAGTCGCAATCCATCAGTATCTAACCCAATAAAGACAACAAGGTACCATCCACAGGTGAAAACGAATAGTAAAAGGGAAATAGCACAGAAAGACAATCTTACTTGGTTTGTTCATATCACGTCCATAAAACATCACAAGAATGTAATACCAGCCAACCATCCACAACAAAAAAAACAAACCAACACCATGCACAGAACACAATCATCATGACTAATCCAAGAGTGAGGTATTCAATCAAACATGATTCAGTCACATGATCCACAACGTATAACATCAGCTCAGATGACATTATCATTAAACAATATAAGCACAAATCCAAGCTCATCCAAGATGATGCATTTGTAATTCTGATAAAACGAAAAGGAAATAGGAGTTCTATGAAACAAAGCATGAGAATTGCTTTCACGCTTTCTAGTTTTGAAAGGTAATTTAAGCAACCAAGCCCACATGCAAGAAAGGGAAGGTTCTAACAACCATAGGACCAGATAATCCATCCTCATAGGAAATTCAAAAGGGGAAAAACACAGTAAAATCATCCACCAGCATCCAGCACTATAGGACCCCAGCATCCAGCACTAAAGGACCATAGAAGAACATCTAAACACTGATAATTGGGATAAAGTGCTATAGAGTAACGCATGGAATAAAATAAAAAACTTAATGTCGGGTTTGATGACAAAAACTGGACATTAAGAACTTGAACTGTTTCACTGTGGTGACTAACATCCATCAAAAGCAAGCCAGCTTGCATTTTTGTCATCTGCAATACAACAATTGCACAGGACTAAACACCACAGTGTAAACTACAACATTAGAGGGAACAATCCACTGCCAAAACTTGCTCCAAATGGTGGAGCAGAAGTTATTTGCATTCCAGTTATTTACTGGTTGATTGATTGATATAAGCAACTTTAGTGGTCCAGATAACCCTGTCTTCTTCTCGATGCACAGAGAGGAGACAATGGGACGGTTTCAACTGAGACCAACAACCACTGCTAATGTTTTCCAAAAAAATAACTTAAAAGGGCTTATTGCTCCACTTAACCCTCAGGGCACCTGAAAAGAGACAAAAGTACAGATCATAAAAACTAAGAGAAAGAAATCAAAATTACCTTGTTGCTGTCCACTTCTCCTATCCCTGATCAGAGCCACTTCAATAACATTCCCATGTTCCTCAAATAAGGGGCGAATCTGGGTGAAGGAAGCAATTTAATAGCATCGAGTCAAATAAAGTTTATAAATGTCATATTTCAAGGCTTCAGCAAAACCAGAAATTGCATAAGAAATAAGTCAGAAGAGGTAGATCATGGTTTTGTAACAGTTCCTGGATCCCAAAGGACATCAGAAATTGATCCTTTTCTTTTTGCTTAAAATAATGAACTACATAAAAACAAAATGATTCCCAAGCATTGTAAAATAAAATAAATCAAGGCCCCGGAATCATCTTCATGTGCAATGTTCTGCCCATTCTTCACATATTCTATAAGACACACTCTGATTAATAAGCATGAACTATAACTATATGACCTTTTTACACAAGTCATATACCATGCGATCCAGTAACAAATTATGTGGTTACAGCTAGAAAGAAGGGAGAACATCCCTCATCTTGGAGTAAGTGGGTGCATCCCCACCAGTCCTGCAGGGGGGCGGTATAACTATTTCAGAACAATGTTAAAAAGCATTTCCCGTTAGCCAACCCTAACATTCAGCTTTTATATCTATATATGACTTGAAACATCATTTAAAATAAGTTGAGACCTAATCATCATACAGTAAATCACATAATCTGTTCTCATGTTCAGTTTTGACTAACAGCTTCATAAACTCCTGATTACATAATTATTACTGCAATGTAGGGTGCTTGTTCCTGACATTATGCAGGCAGCTTTAGATGTGATATGGGCTTATGAACCTCCTGGGCTCAACATTACCAGATAAATCAATTTAACAAATGTAGCAATATGAAGCAATGAATGGACAAGGAAAAATAGTTGAACATGACTATTGAAATATTGAAACAGTATTTGCAGAACGGAACAGTCATGAAAGATGTTGTCAAGTGGAATTAAGTATACACAACCAGAAGAAAAGATAAGATCAGGCCATAGTGAGCTCTCAGATTCTGATATTATGTACAATGGTGCATAATCAAGACACTAGACATAAATTGGCACTTGTAAGCTCAAATTCTAGATGATGGACGGGTACTCAAAAGGGAAAATATATCAGTATCAAGTATACTACAGGTCATAACGACAGCAAAATCAATCATATATCATGAAATTAGGTAAAACAAAACAAAAGTTTAAATTGGATGTTTACAAGCTATCCAGGAATATAGGTATAAGGATAATAAAATAACTCACATCCTCCTCAGTTACTGTCCTTGGAACAGATCCAACGAAAAGCTTAGCAAATTTGTTCCCGTCTGCATATTCTGGAGAGGAAAAATGTCAACATTCTGGACAAAAAAATTATGAGCATAAAGCAGCTACGATGATCTTATACATTCAATAATTTGTAACAATGTCTAGACAGATGGACGAAAAAGATCAAATAGAAAATTATTGTTCGCATATGGTACGATCATAAAATCAAGGAAAGTAATCTTACGATTAGTTCCATTAGTAACACGTTCTACAGCTTAAAATAATATATTATAATGCATTTAAGAGAGATTTGGCTTGAAGGCTTTCCCAATCAGTCATCAAAATCAACGAGTCAATGACCATCAGACCAAGTACCAGCTTGGTTTTACACAAGCAAGGTTCAATTTAAAATAAAAAAGCTTTCCCTTGTTTTGATATAATGTCAGCAGAATAATTTGAAATAGACCTAGTGTGCGCATGGACATCCATATGTGTGAACAATAGTTAATACATAATGCAAGTAGTTAATCAAAAAATAAACATGGCAAAGCCATGCTTACTGATCATATCATCCTTGTTTATACTTTCTCATGTTTTGCGATTCCAAATATTTTGAACAAATATGACGACCCGAGGGGTTTGTCAAATGAGGACCTTATTCCAAATATACCTTCCGTTATGTAATATAAGCATACACCTCCTATTAAGTAAGAGCTAATACCTAAATCATCGTTTTCTCCATCAAAATTTCCCCTTATATAAGTAAAATCATAGTTGTATATGCTTCTCCATAAAAGCAAAAGAACAGGGAACAGATAGCACCTTATCATCATCTCTTGAAACCCCATAATTTGAAAAGTAAGTTACGGTGATCTGTACAGGCATCATCTTCAACATATATCTGTAACCGTCAAAAACATATAATTGCAAGAAATGTATTTGTGCTTTATTACTAACTCCTCTCCAATATAGGGTATAAACATGACAAATCAAGCTCTTCTTTGCAAACTTCCACCTAGATAAATATCATTGAAGCCATATTGTTTCTAAACACTTTCAAACTAATAACCCTGTCTTTTGTTTATCCAAGAACATCATCCACAATAACAATCCAAGACTACCATGATACCATCCACAATAGCTAATAACCGACACTAGCCACTAGGCAGATAAAGCTACTAAAAAGCGAACCAGAATAAAATGAAAAGCTATTAACGACAATGTGTTCGAGTACTTCCAACTATTTTGGTAAGACAAATACAACGGCTTCCCCCTTTTATTACTTGATCCAAAAACTTCAAGCTCAGACAGCAAATGAGACTCACATACACATAATCATATGAATTAAAGACTAATCTTAGTTAAAGTTTCCAACTTTGAATATAGCCAGCTAAATACCCAACCGAAACCATTGAATCACCCAAAATAAATAAATAAATACATAAATAAATAAAAATAAAAGTAGACAAAAGCACTATCCTCAGGGCGCCATCTTCTACCCCACCTAAAAAAGCTTTAGGTATAAAATCCCTATAAATTTCATAGTAACAGCCACACTCACACTAAACCCTAACCCTAAAACTCAAGATAATACAGACAAAAAAAAGAAACCCTAGCTAGGGCAAGATAACCGTCAACCCTGGCGACCCACCCGCCTCTCCAAAAAAAACCCCTCTTAGGCACCCACCCATGGGAACTGAAACCCACGCGGCCCACCACCGAAACCCGGCCCGCCGCCCGCCTCCGCCTCGGTAGGGTATGTTCGCTGCGCGACCACGCAGTAAGGATGGAGACCGGACCCTTCGGCCGCCTCCGAACCCTCCACCCGCGTCCTACCGATCCCCTACCTCCTCCGCCGCGCGCGCCCCTAGGGCAAGCGGTGGTTTGTCGCTCTGGCGGTAGGCCGTCGTCGGACCAACCGGGACGACGGCCATTCTACGAGGCGGCAAGCTGCCGCCGCCTCCTCCGCCGCCCAAGCTCGGTGCCGACCGAGCCGTCTTACCGTGTGTCTTTCGCCTCTGTGACGGTCCATTCTTGGCCTGTGTGGAAACCCTAGTTTTCGAAGTCTGAGTGACGAGGAGTTGAGCGAAAGAGAGAAAGAGGGTTTAATTATTATTTCGCGAAGAGATGATGATTAAATAGACCGCAGGGATTTACTGCGGGTAGATTTGGGAGCACGGGTAAATACAGGCGGGTAGAACACGTGAGCATTGACTTGAACACGTGAGCTGCACGTCGGACGTCTTTTCGTTCGTTCTTTATTTCTTTTTGTCTCTTCTTTCCTTTACTATAAGGGCCTGTTTGGTACATTTCTGGAAAAAAAAAAAACAAAATAAAACTTTGAAATCTATTTCTTGGCATTTCAATGGGTTTGCACACTTTTGATATAATTTGTTTGATTCGCACAGATTTGTAGAGATGAAAACAATGTGCTCCATTTCCAGCGTTTGGTACAACAGCCCCAAATAAAGAAACTCATCTACAAGTCATTAATGGAGCTTACCCCCATAAAATATATAATATCTAGGCAACGGTAAGATATCTCCCAACGGGCAAAAGGAGGATCGCACTTCCAACGGTAAGCTGAAGTCATTTTCAAACATAGCCACAGTAACCCAACGCAGCAATACAAATAGTTGGTACCTGCTGGAAAAACATAGACCATTGCAAACCATCTTCAAAGAGCTGAAATAGGATATATCAAGAAGCCCATTTCTCAGGCCAAGCTGAGCCATGGTAATGTGCCACTGTCAAATACCGACGCCATTAAAGCTGTGCAAAAATGGACCGAACAAGGGCAAATACTTTTGGAGCTGCGCAAAATACCCGAATAGGCAATGCAAATTCTTTAGATGGGCAGAAATTGAGCAAGATATCAAAGAAGGAAAAGCAAGCACATACGAGCACGAGAGCAGCAAGAGTAAAGCAAACTTCGATGAAGCAACTTCTCGTGATGTCTCAGACATAGACAACTTGGAAGCTAAGCACTTGCAAAGAGAACTGAAGTTTGCAAAGCATCAAGTTGATTACTTGAAGAAAAGTCTAGTTGTCTTAGGAATATTTACTATTTTCGTTGTTGTCGTGAACATTGTCATCTTGTCTTTCTTAATAAGAATAATGCAACAATCTCTTTAGAATGCTTGTACTCTTGTGCATGAACAGTTTGAAATTAAAGCAGCGAAAAGATTGAAAATCAATGAGATGTAAATCCCTTCATGTATATCTGTAATAAAACGTGCAAAAAAACAATATCTACTAACTGCAAGTTTCATAAGAATGCAAAATGAAGGACATGTGAAAACCTGTATCAAACGAGAACTCAGTTTGGAAATACAGACATACAGAACAATTGTATTTGACGAGATGATTATACAGGGTATTGCTGAAAAATCCATAGCACGTGTGCAGCAGTCTGGGAAGGTGATTAGTGCAGCAAAATCTAGCTCGGGCATAAGAATCAGATAACAAATAGATATTTGGTTTAAAATCCTGTGAAACCTTGAATTTGGCTAATAAGAAGATGCTCAGATATATGTCTACATCATCATATATCCCACACCAGTAATCAACTACTACGCAAAGTTGGCTGCATTCCAATACAGTTTACTTAGCGCAATAGGTAAATGTTGGGACTGCCTCGCCAAAACAGTGCAAGTATTAATTACTGGATTAGAATATCAGAAATTTAGACAATCATCATTGCAGCAGGTTGTGCATGCATGTGCAAACTGGGGAAATAAAACAGTGCTCAGGCTTGCAATAAATTCTTGAAACAGGGTGCATGTACATGGCAGCTGTAACAATCAAAGGCTGCAATATATGTTCCCTGAATAAGATCAGCATGAACCTGCCTCGCCTTAGGATTGTTAAGTAACATGTGATTGCATCTTATATGGGCATGCACTCATCATTGCACCGTTCAAGTTAATTTAAAAAAGTGACAGCTTGTCATACCAGCAAAAAAGGACGCTAATGGGGCACCTCAACCATGACATAGAATCATATGTGGTACCTGAAATTAGAAAAAGAATCAGCATAACCTGAGACACGTTGCATCACTCACTAAGCAGCACTCAACAACATGTATTAGACTGCATCAACATAAATCACAAAGGTAGCAACTGCATCATAACCCAAAATATACAAGCATACCAACCATCTACAAGTTTTTACGACATAATAACATAACTGTTAGACCTAGTGCGCAGAATAAAAGAGGTCCATCCTACAGCAAAATGTTCCTGGTCATAGTAATAGTTGAAGAACTGAATGTAGAATACCAGACTTGGTAGTGCAATTTGTTAGGCACCGGAACCAAGCACATACCTGGATAGCTAACCTAGCTTCCCCCATCTTGCTTCTTCATGAAATTGTCCAACAAAGCCCTTTGACCAAAGTCACTCTTACCTATAAAATGCCTGGCCTTGGATTCATCTTCATATATGGTATCATAAAAAAGCTCAAGGCATTCTATTGGGTATGTATCTTTGTGCCTGAAGATAGCTTTGGACAATTTCTCTGTCCAGTGCAGGTTAACAAGATTGAGACAAGAAGAAAAGTGTTTAACTTCATCTACCATTTGTTGCATGATCTCATGCTCAGAGTGGGCCTTCCTCCCCCTCACTTTAGCCGATGGGATTTTCTTTGGATAGTCCTGGTAGGGGGCTTTGACGGTATTGTTTTGCGATTGATTGTCTTCATCTAACATGTTGACCGTGGGCTGGGATTTCTGGGTCATAGGAATGTTGACATCCTCATTGGCATCATCTGCAAGATTAATAGGCTCATGACCACCAAATTTCTCCATTGAAGCCTTAGCAAAGTCACCTCGTGCTTGATCATCTCCACAAATGACGGACAGGTTCTCGTAGTGTTTCAGAGGCTTATTGATGTAATCTTTAAGCCTGCATGCAATAATAACACCATTAGTACAATGCAAAGGACACTACATCATTCACACCAACAGAAATTTGAATGGATTAAAATTTATGTTACCTCATTCCACATGTCAAAGCTCTCAGGATCCAGCATAATAGTTTGTGTATCTTCATCCCAACCTGCGCCACTGGTATTACGAGCAGCCT